CAAAATGAGCACCTTATCTTGGCTTAACTTTTTTTTTTAGTGGAACCGGGAATGGAATTCAGGCCCTTTCACCTGCCAGGAATGCTTATTCCACTGAGCCATCTCCCTGGCTTTTGACTTTACATTTTAATGGAACAAATGTTGTCTTTTAGGGAAGAATTTCCCACAAATGTGCTGTTCCTGTTGATCACACTCACACTGCCATTAGTCTGGAGGAAACTGTAAGGATTGCTAAAGTGCCAGGGTCTCTCTGCATGACTGAGTAGATGACCACCTGCAGCACTCATTCTTCCCTGTGCAGTGTGTGAAGGCTTTGAATCCATAGTCTTGAATGTTGCACAATCCGGTGGATTTCACACTAGTTTAGGAGACCTTGATCATTCACTCTTACCTGAAACCCATGGTTGTTTGATCATCCTCCTCCTCATCGGCTAGATTATCTGCAACCAAATTCAAAGCATCCAAGTCAGACATTTGACTGTGCATTTCCTCACTGGAGAACAGTGAGCTATCTTGGTGCACAGACAAGCAATTTGGGTGCGGGGGGTCAGAAAGGTGTTATGCTCGTCTTTAAAATGTGTTCTATTGGTGTAGTATGATCCCAGACACCAAAGGCCCCAAGCCCATGGATTTTCTTAGTAGGCGGTCTGAGGTTTCACTGGCAAATAGAAAAACTCTTATTACTCCAGTGGAGAGAGAGCAGAGAAGTGCAGCCACTGTGGGGCCTCTCCAGCCACATCTCCATCAGGTCACAGAGCTGTAGGATGAGGCTGAAGGCCCCACAGTCACTACAACTGCTCTCACATACACTGACCTCTTTTGTCAGGGAAAGGAGAAAGAACTGTGCCCTACAACGCTGAAATCTGTCCACATTCTAAGGTGTTCCATTGAGCTTTCATGATTTGATTAAAGGAAATTGTCTGTGTCACCTGTTCAGTGTTCTACCTTTGCCAATATTTTACCACTGCATCCTGCTATATGGAGTCCATACCTGAAAATCGCTGCATGACTTCATCCATTTGAAACCACACTGATGAACCTAACTGTTCGCATACTACAACTATCATGAAACACATACTGTGAGCATTGAAGAGATGAGAAGAAAATCCAGGAAGCATAATTAACCCCATAATAGACAATAGATACATTGTGAGGATACCTAGAAAACTTCTTCATGGAACAGTCTGTTACAAATCTAGCATGACTCTCTGGGCCACACCCTACTACCTTGGAAGATGCTGGATGAAGATTGCCTGATCGCCACTGGACATAGTTTACCATGAAAGAAGGCAACACTTGGAATAGTTTAGCCTCTACCCAGTGTGTTTCTTCTTCCATATATCAGCAGGTCCTTCTCAACAAGACTAAAAAAAAGGGGGTGCATAGGAAGAAAAGAGACATAAAGAATGCATGTGTAATATTATTTCTAAGAAGCAGGTCACCTTGTGGCAGGCCAGGGTTAAACTGAGCCTGCAGCCCCCTTACCTGACCTAAGTCTGTGGGCAATGCACTTGGCCAGCTTACTCTCCTCTACAAGTATTTCTCTGTGACTCTGATTCTGGTATCTGTGCTGGTCATCTTCAGCGAGGAGACTGCTGAGATTCTGATGGAGCATGGAGGCAGTATGTCTCCCTTCCTCCAACTTGTGCCTCAATTTAGTCAATTCTTGAGCCTGAACTTCAATTAGAAACTGGAAATCTCTGAGGTGAAATAAAGAGGGTGAATAAAGAGCATCTCTTCAATGCTCACAGTATGTGTTTCATGATAGTTGTAGTATGCGAACAGTTAGGTTCATCAGTGTCCTGTCAGTGCATTACAGGCCAATAGGACACTGAGAGAGTTTTCTACAAGCATGTGGTATTGAAGCCTTCTAAACATAAATCTAACCCACTGTTGGCAATAGTGCATTGGTGTTTTCAATGTCAAAGTGACAACATAACCCCCAGACATCTGAGCATTCCTAGAGTTCTTATGCTTTCTTTGTGTTTGAAAGTTGTGAATATATATAAAAATGTAAATTGTACATTTGTCTAATTATCTGCCAATCTGTAAAATTTCTGAAAATCACCTCAAACCAAACAGGTCATATAAATATGACTCTCACATGCTTTTTTCCATACACAAGAGGCCAGGAGTGATTGAGATCAATAAGACACCTGCTGAGGTTTACTCATCCAACTCCACACATCCTTAAGAAGAACAGAGAAACTTGCAAAGAGGACGCTGGCCTGTTGGGTTGGGGAAATGAAACTGCCATGACAGAACTTTATGTTTCCCTTCACATCACTAATGTGAGTACTTTTCTCTTGGGGCTTCAATGCCATTTGTGTATCTTACCCATCCAGGTCATCCATTTTAGGAACAAGATCTTTTACTTCTTTTTCCTCATTTTCCTGTTCATTATTTCCTGCAAGGCAATAAAGAGACAATCAGAAACTAAGTAGTACTGGACCACCCAAACCTACAGGTAGATGGTGAATAAATACTTAATTATGCATTTAGGATATACTGAAAAGCATACTGAGAAGTTCAAGAATTTCTTGAAAGAATTTATCTCACTTGTCATTATGATCATTTAGAAAAATTAACTTTGATTTAGGCATCAATATGGTATGCTATACTGAGTTAAAAATGCTATTTGTTCCCCGGGTCATCATATAAAAATACAGCTTCACTCTAGACTTTATTTGTGTCTGCTCACCTGCCACAAGCCCAGTACCAGGTGCAAAATCTGCCTCTCAGTAGCTCTCCAAAGTCAGTTTTATTCTTTAGGAAGAAGCTAGAATCCCTTACCTAAGCCCCTATGCTCTTCTCACCACCCTGTGTACTGCCAGGCAGCTTCTGTGGTCTTCTCAAAGAAGGTCCTATGTGTGGGAAGTATTTTAGTGTACACCAACTTCCCCGACACCAAGTTCCTCCATGTTAAGATCCTCATTCACTCACAATAAATCACTCAGGGATTTATTGTGTATTAAAGTGCACTAGTAAAATTCCCCATATGTGTTATGATAGCTATTATGCAGGTCATTGTTACCACTCGGCAAATAAAGAGATAGAAATTTGATCAAAACCCAGCCACACATATAGAACATATAGCACCATAGAAAGATCCCTGAAACACTCCACACTTGCCAAACCTATTTCCTTAGAGCAAAAGTCAGCCTTTACTCTGACATTGCCTCCATCCTAGAGTGTGTCTCTTCTGTTGGGACAGTCTTTATATCGTCAAAGTTCAAATGAGATGTGCAGAACTACACCCAGGAAATTGTAACTTCGCAAATGTGGAATGGTCTAAGGCCTAGACATCAAAACATATCCATGTCCTGTACATAAGGCTGATATTCCACATGGGTAGTGGTATCCAACACACTACATCTGCATTCCTATCCTCATCCCCACTACGTCCCTTCTCCCTCCTCATCTCTTCATCCACATCACTTTTTTATATAGTTGCCCAACATAATGCTTACATTTCTGTGTGTAGTGGATACTTATATACGACACATCTGAATTC